AGGGATGGTGGTGGCCCCAGCTGGAGCAGAGGGATGGTAGTGGCCGTGCTTTGGACAGCACCTGATCCTTGTGCCAGCACAGACCAGCACTCCTAATTAAACACAGCCTTGATTAGAGCCACTGTCAGAGCCAGGCCCCACTTCTCCAAGGTGTCCATGATTCCTTCCAGCTCAAGTGCTGAGGTTGGAGGGATGCTGCTGCAGTCCAGGATGGAGGAGGGCTGCACAGTTATTTGGGGCTGACAGGATTTCAGATTCCTTCTGATAGGATCCCGCTAGCTCGTGCTGTATAAGCGGAGTTTCCAAGATGGAGCTCTTACATAACCAGAAATGACTTTTGGAGGGAAGTTTTGGTCCTCCCACTTTCCCAAGCTGTCCTTTCCACAAGAATTGCAAGGTGTCCTTTGGCTGGAAGGACCTTGCTGATTTTGTAGCAGGGATGCTGAATCCAGAGCTTGTTTTGATCTGTCAAAAACCAGGGATATTAACTCTATCCAGGAATATCCTTTAAATGTGAATCCATGCTCGGCTCTTCTCCCAGCTCCCTTTTTCCCAGTGCAAGCAGCAGAAAGACAGGAAGCACAGGCAGTCTGGGGTGGAAGGAGCTCTGATGCTCTGGGGCTCAGCCTGGCTTGTGTTACAGCAGGACACAAAGTCCCAAGTGTTCCTGGTGGAAACCAGAGAAGTTGCAGTTACCACTCATGTTCTGTGCTCGTGCATGGACCAGCTCTTCTGGAATGTTCCTGGTCCTCCTCTCCCCAGTGAGCCAAGGAAGTGCTGCAGGGCACTGCAATGCCCCCTGCACATTACTGGTCAGAATTCCCTGTGACACCAGCACCTCTTTGCAGTAGGAGCTTCTCAGTGGAAGGTGTTTGTTCCCAGACCTTCACAGTTATTCCTGCACCGGGAGTGCTCCTGGTTTTCTCTTGCATGGGAATGCAAATGTATTCCAGGGAGTGGGCAGGAGCTGGGCACTCCTGAGACATTTGGAACTGGAGTTGTCTCACCTGCAGCTCAGACATTTGCAATTCATAATCATAATTATTCCTGGGAATCCCTGAGCCCCTTCTCAGGTGCCACAGCCCAGGTGTGTCACCCTCAGGGGTCTGTTCCTATCCAGTGGCTTCAGTGTTCCAGTCCAGATCCCAAGGTGCAGAGTAGGAGCTGAATCCACCCCCTCCTCTCTCTGCATGCACCAAATGAAGGCTCTCTGCCCTAGCCTGACTCGGATAGATCCCAGTTCTCCTCTCAGAAGCTCCCTGTCCATCACCTGGGCCCTGAGCCATCCATGCCCTCGGGCTCTTTGCTGTCCGCTTGTCATCTATCAAAGGAAGGAAGGCAGGTCCCTCCTCAGTCTGACAGGGCTTCTCCCTGCCCCTGGCTGGAGCTCCCTGGGTTACAGCAGGGCTGGAGCTCTTTGAGAAACACCCGGAGGTGTGAGAGGAAAAGTCATTAGCACAGAAAAACCTTGGTGGCACAGAAGATCCTTCTGCAAACTGCTGCTCCAGCTTCATTAAAAGCACAGCCCCGGGCTCTCATTCCGACAGGATGGATTCGCTCTGGGTTATCTAAATGAGAATGATCATTTCTGCAGGGGGAGGAAAACAGAGGAAACCAGGAGGAATTATTCTGTATGAATTATGTGCTCAGCTTTCATACTGACCTATTGAGTCAGCAGTGAGAGCTGGATTTCCTAGAACAGCCTTTCATGCTGGATTTTGGAGATATTCTTCTTTTCTGCCCTGAAAGATCACTCAAATGGCCTTTCTCACACTGGCAGTGTGGGCTGCAGCCTGGATGCTGGGAAATAATGAACCAGTTATCCAAATCATTCATCCTTTTGGATTCCAGCATCCTTTGTGCTCCCTCCTGGCAAGGGTTGGGCATGTGGGCATCACGTGTGACCCTGAGGTGGGCATGGCTGGTGTGGAGACAGGCATCCCAACTGGCCAGGCAGCTCCAACAGCAGCAATTCCAGCTGCAAAAATGTGATTCCTTTGCTTGATAACAAAGATTCTCTGCTGTTTTAGCTGCTGAGCTGCCTTCCTGTGGGATGAGGGGCTGATCTCTGGTGTGGGCAAAGGCGGCAGGCACACAGTGGCCTGCTGGTGGGAGGGGCAGGAGGGGAATGGATTTGGGCACACGTCACACAGCCTGCCCCCTGTGTCACAAACCACCCTGACACTCGTGTCCCTTGGAGGTGATAGCCAGGTGATGCACCCGAACCTCCCTGGATCAGGGGCTGTGTCACTTCTGACCTGTAAGAAAGTTGTGCTTGCAGCTTTATTTTCCACGTGAAGAACTGACAGATGAGGAAAACCAGCCCTGTCTGCCATGGTTCTCTTTTCCTTGCCCACCTGAGCAGGGGTGTAGCAGCAGAATACAAGGAGCACAAGAAAAGAGATGAATCAGATCCTCTTCCAGAAGCCTCTGCTGAGTTGGAGGCCGTTCCTTGTTGCATTTGATTCGTGCAGAGACTGCAGCTGACATCCAGTACAAAGGCAGCTGCCACCATGGGTCACTGTGGAACATGTATCCAGCAAAAACAGAAAGCAGAGAAGGGCGTTGCAGCTCAAAGATGGAATTATAGAATTGATTCCTGAGGGGTGCTCGATGGTCCAGATATATTTGCAACCAGCTTATTTTACAGAAGGATTTATGGAGCCTTTAATGATAAATTAGAAGGCAAAGTCGCAGGGCAGGAGGGATGACTGATGAGTTTGTATTTCAGTTTTTAAGCTGTTTTTCAGTTGGTTCTGCTTGCCTGGTTCTGTGTTTTGGTTTTTAGGCTGTTTTTGAGTTGGTTGTGCTGTGCCTGAGCTGAGCTGGTGCAGCTTTTCTGTCCCTTCAGCAGCACCCCGGAGCCTGGCACTGTGTGCAGTGACCCTGGGGGTTGCGTGGGGCAGCTGCCATCTCACCTGCTCCCGTGTGCCCGCAGATCTTCCACATGACCTACGACCTGGCCAGCGCCGTGGTGAGGATCGTCAACCTCATCGGGATGATGCTGCTGCTGTGCCACTGGGATGGCTGCCTGCAGTTCCTGGTGCCCATGCTGCAGGACTTCCCCGACGACTGCTGGGTGTCCCTCAACCGCATGGTGGTGAGTGCCACGCACAGGGCACCTGCGCCCGCCTCTGTGTCCTCCTCCCCAGCCTCTTCGACCTTCCCCCTTTCCACTCTTTTCCCACTGCCTCTTTCCAAAGAGTGAGGCCGATGCCAGGTGTTGGATAGTTCATCTCCTTGAGCAGCCCATCATAAATAATTAAGCATAAATATATATAAATAACAAAATAGATATAACATATT